CATAATTTCAAATAAATTAAGTGAAGTGCTAAAGCCATAATGGCTTCGTTTGCACGCTTTTTTACTGCTTTTAAACGGAGTCTTAATAAAAAAATAAAAAATTTGTACTAAAAACTCTGTTTAGAAAGACAATAAAAAAGCCGCTCCAAACCGAAAGCCTAATCTACCTTTTATGGCTTAGATGGAAAAAATATAGGGAATGGACAGTGCAGGATAAAAAATTAATTATAAGATTAATATATAAATTGATTGATTTTTTAGAAATATATTCTTACTATCCTTTAGTTAATATCATCTTAACTTGTTTTGGTGGATACCGAGGAAAAACTGCAGCTTCTAATACTTCTATGCTATGTTACAAAATTCATCCTAAGGTAGAAACAGAAGAAAATAGTATAAGTGGCATTTTTTAATTCTCGTATCGATTATATTAAAGGATTGTTGAAATGTTAACATCAAATAAAAGCAATGTTTGATACACTCCCTTGTTATCAATTAAGCTATTGTTGAGGAGAGATATAGTGTGGAGTGCGAGACGGGCCAAACCACTGCACAAGCATTGTGTATCTAGTGGTACCCGCACTGGTACTGCTGCGGTACCACTAGATACCCATACTTGTGGGATGTTCGCATTTCGCCCACTAATAATTTTTCTTGTTAAGGCAGCTTTTTGTCTTTGTTGGTCTCCATATTCTCATGTTTACAAAAGTAGGATTCAATTTCATTCTCCAAGAGATCATGCCATTTTGGCTAGGGTTTATTAGAACAGCTCATTTTTAAAAGTAGTTTAAATTTTAGTAGACAAGTAATTTTTAAAATTGTCGTAAAAATTGCCAACTTCACAATAGTTCAAAAATTTTCTTGAAAATAAACAAGAAACAGTAGCCAAATAAGATCATAATCGAGTTATCGAGTTCTGAAAAACAAAGAGTACGAAAGTTGTTACAAATTAGACCTCTGATGTTCGTAAAATTGATAAAATTTCTGTCACAAATTGAATGCAATCTTAGACCCATAAATCTTATTTGTGACAGTCGGATAAAGCATATGAGATGATTATAATTTCATTCATGAAAGATACTGTTAAAGTTATTTGAGCAAGCGACAAAAGCAAATAATGCTCTCAAAAAAAAAAAAAGTACTCCAATAAAATTTATATTTTCATAAATTGAAGATGAAATGCGTTCATTATAAATTTTTTATTAATATACATCATATTTCAAGTAAATAAAATATATTTATCAATAATTATTTTATTTATATAATTGCCACCAACCTAAAAAATTTTAAACCATTAACAATGGGATTTCACAAATCCTGAATGAAAAGATAGATAGCATTTTTGAAGCAATATACTTTGTTATATAAACAAAAATTCTGACTCTGCACCATTGGTTAGAGAGTAGAAACATTAGATAAATTAAACAGTAAAAAAATACAAACTCAATAGAAATAACATTTGGAATATTACCAATTGAATGTATATCTTTTTGGATAACTTATTCTTTGGGATGTCAAAATGCCGTTCGAGGGGGCGACAAATTAGAAATGGAGGCACTCTCCCTTGTTTTTTAGCCTGGTTTAGCCGGCTACGAGGTACGCTTGAGGACGATTCTTGATTGATTTCCGACGGTGTTCTGCGCGACCGATGTGCATAGAATAATTTTTCCTTGGGCGCATATTTGAGAATTCAAATGTGGATCAAAGGGAGAAATTTCTACCCTAACCAACCAGCCGCATGAACATCCCGACTACATACCTTTCACTATTCAAAGAACATTAGACACACATTTTCAAAGGACTAAATAATTATAAAAAAAATTATTAATTAATATACATATATAAATTATATTAAACAGACTGAAAAATTACTTAAATTTATTTGAAATTAGTGCAATAATAAATTTTTTATTATAACATTAAATCTCAAACTAAATTTAATAATTTTCTATTTCCATCATAATAAAAAATATCAATATTTATCTTTGGTGTATTATAAGGCAAGGAATTCGGGTTAGAACTTCTAACCTGTATTGGGACCAACAGCTATGTGTTCCCAGCAGGTATTGTGCATGGGCCGCTGCTGCGGCCGCTATGTCCAATCCGGTGATTGCTGGCTGTCATTAAAAGGCTTGTTATCTGTGGTTAGGTGATGGGATGAGAAAGAGAAGCTTAATATATAGAAAGGAAAATGACAGTAGCACCAGATCGACGTAGACACAGATCTTAAAGCATGTACTTAGGCCAATGATAGTAAATAATTCACCGTTCTAATTCTTATATGAAAAGTTCCTTACACATTTCTTTTCCAGTCATTGAAGGGAATGTCTTAATATTATCAAATCAAGAAGTAATTTGTAGCCAAACTTTGCTGCTATATTGATTCTCACCAAATACAATATTAAGGGGATTTTCCGACGTACGATAGAATTGTGAAAAGGTTTGAGTAGTTTTAGGCTTTTTTAATAACTTTTTTATTGCTTTAAGCTCAACAAAAATTTATTAAAAATTTATTAACGTAGAATTTTGTACTAAAAAATAGGAGTGTTCAATTTCGGTCACAGGTCGGGTTCGTGCGAACCGGAATTGACCCGGGTTCAAACGGTCGAACCCTAACCCGACCCGGAGTTATGACAAAACAGTAGAAATTCAGAACCGGACCGACTTGACCTGATTTTGGTTCTGCCGACCGACCAGTAACGTCTCGAACGTACGGGACGAACGCGAGGCTTGCGGCGGCCAGGGTAGTGGTAGCGGCACGTCACACACGGGTGAGGCGTGGGCACGCGGGAGCGGGTCGAAGCGCGCATGCGGCAAGCAGCGTAGGCGAAGCAACGGCAGAATCCAAAATTTTTAAATAAAGGGTTTTCGGTTGACACGAACCCGTCGGTTCAACCCGAAACACCACCCTTTTTGCAAACGGAGTCAGTCTCCGACTAACCCAGACCCGGTTCCGGCGTTTCGCGTTGGTCCAAATTTACTCCATACTAAAAAAACTACTTTAGGAAAACAGTAAGAAAACTTTGTCCCAAGTGAAGCCTTTAGTGACTGATAAGATTAAGAAAGAGTCGCTTTAGATGATTGGATCTTATAAAATGACGGCCTTCTGATGATGTTGTTAGAGAACTAATATATTAAGATCCTGACTATGCTAATAAAATAGTGAGAATAATTTAAAAAGGCTTGAATTATAAATATATTATAAATAGTTTTTTTATTCATATTAATAGACACAATGTTGAAAAATTTTATAGGCACCTACCCACTATTGGATAAAGGCTTTATTATTATTTTATTGTCATTTATTAAATCATTGATTTTTATTTTATTTACATAAGCACTTAAAATCCCAATTAGTATAAAAAATAATAAAAATTAACATAAAACGATATTATTTTTATCTGTTCTTCGCAAGTCTCATGACAGTTTTAGTTCCTTAGTGCAAATTTAAGCAAATATATACAAGACGTCAATTGTTCGAGTAAAAATACAAGCAAAAGAAAAGAATCTGAACCTGGCCAGCCGAGGTGGAGCATGTGAGATGATCAATAGCCAATCATTGAGAAAGAAGAGAGCATAGTACAGAGAACCACCTCTTTCGCGATGGCATCACACTAAGAGATGGAATCACTGGAGAGGACAGTTAGGATTTTATCACGTATGGGCGAAGACATCATTAGATTCATATTGCATGCAACAAAGGTGAGCGATGGCGACATAAGTCAAGGTGACATTCAAGTCGGCGGTCGACGGTGGGTAGAGGATTTAATCGATAAGGACGATGTCAAAGGACCATAATTAGTGGGAGAGGGAAATAAGAGAGATAGTAGTCGATGGTGAGGAAGTTTGAAGGAATTAGTCGGCGAGACGACGATGGTTGGAAGGAACTGTAATTAGTGGCTACAGTAGTTGGAGGACCATAATTAGTTCGGGTGACGAAAGTCGGAGGATCGTAGTCGGCCGACGATGTGCATTGAAGATCATAGAAGCTGCGAGTGGCGGATGTCGGAGTTACCTGTAGTGGTGGCGTGAACAAGGCGCGATGGTGGGCAACTGCCCCCCCCACCCCTAAAAAAAAATGGAATTTGAAAGCCGCTGGAACCGGGATTAAAAAAAAAACCAGGATTTACTAAAATAAGTAAAAAATGAATTTAGGGTTACAGTTTAGTCATATTCGCTCTAGGCCACAACCGCTCCTCCTTTCGCGTTTCTCCACGCAGGCCGCAGCCAAGCCTTTCGCCGCTCTTTGGCGTTTCTTCCGGCGACGCAGGCGACCGGCGGACGACGGTCGGAGACGGCGACGTCTCTTACTCTTACACCGGCGGCGGAGGAAGCCGTGAGGTATTTTTTTTAACAAACTCCTGTTTCACCGAGACACCGAATCACCTTTACTTTCAACATTTAGAAGGCCTAAAGAAACTAATGTCTCTCTCTCTTGTCCAAGGACGCAACGACTCTTTCCGAGGACAAGATGTTTGGCTTTGGCCGGATCTGATGTTTGGCTTTGTCTCTCTCTCTATCAAGCCGTGAGGTATTTTTTTGTTATTTGATTTTTTTCATTTTGCTGCTAGAAGCCTATAAGTCATGACGTGCAATTGATTTAAATTATGCATTCATGCCTTAGTTTTCTTGGTAGAAGTTAATTATGAAAATCTAAGAATTTTTTTCTAGATGTTTGCCCATAATTTGCAAAGGAGCAAATCTAATTAATTTTGTTAAATTTTTGTTCACATCAACTTCAATTAGCATTGGTGGCGGTGGCGAAAAGTCATGTTCATATTGCTTTGTTGTTCACTGACATTTCTAGTATAATGAATCTTGTTGGTGTTTCTTTTAAGCGTCGCGACCAAGTTCGAGAAATGTAACGTGAGAAGACAGTAATTGAACTACAAAGTGGAAATCTATTATCTAGGCAAGGCTTAAATCAAGAAATAACCCTTAGGCGTGCTGGTGATACGCGGTGGGGTTCACACTATGAATCAATTTTAAGATTAATTACAATGTTCTCTACAGTAATTGATGTTTTGGAAATCATTTTGGAAGATGGCTTAAGCTCAGAACAAAAAGGTGAGGCATATGCTTTATTAGAATCTTTACAAACTTTTGAGTTTACTTTTTGCCTACATCTTATGAAAGATATTCTTGGTATCACTAATGAACTATCACAAGCTTTACAGAGAGGAGAACAATATATTGTTAATGCTATGTCTTTGGTTCGTATATGTAATAAAAGACCGCAGGATATGAGAGATAACAAGTGGACTGACTTCATCAGTAATGTGACCACATTCTGTCACCAACAAAAAATCATTGTTCCACATATGGATGACAAGTGGGTTGCTCGTGGTCGGTCACGCCGTAGAGCTCAAGATATAATAAATTTATATCATTTTCGTGTTGAAATTTTTTACACAGTGCTTGGTATACAGCTTCAGAAGTTGAACAATCGATTTTCAGAAGCAAATACCGAATTGTTATTGTGCATTGCATGTTTGAATCCTAATGATGGATTTCATGCATTCAACAAAGACAAGTGGGTTGCTCGTGGTCGGTCACGCCGTAGAGCTCAAGATATAACAAATTTATATCATTTCCGTGTTGAAATTTTTTACACAGTACTTGATATGCAGCTTCAGGAGTTGAACAATCGATTTATAGAAGCAAATACCATACTGCTATTGTGCATTGCATGTTTGAATCCTAGTGATGGATTTCATGCATTCAACAAAGATAAGTTGATTCAAATGACACAGCTTTATCCAACTGATTTTAGTCTTGTTGATCGGGCGGTTCTTGAAAATCAATTGGATACTTATATCATGGATATGCGATCTGATGATCAGTTCACCTCATTAAAAGATATTGGAAGTCTTGCTGAAAAAATGATCTAAAGTAAGAAGGATATAATATATCATGTTGTTTTTAAACTATTAGAATTGGCATTGGTATTACCTGTTGCTACAGCCGGCGTTGAAAGAGCATTTTCTGCCATGAATATTATAAAAAATCGACTGCGAAATAGGATTGGCGATCAATGGATGAATGATTTATTACTTGCTTATGTTGAAAAAGAAATTTTGGATTCTATTGATAATGAAGTTATCATTCAACTCTTTCAGAATATGAAGAATAGACGTTATAAATTGTAAGTTGTTTACTATATTACATTTAATATTATATGTTTTGAGATAATTATTAATAAAAAATTTTTAAAACTGCCTATGCCGGTCCCAAGCCCGGATGAAAAAAGTTGAGGGAAAATTTTACTAAATTAATTTAGGCCCCCCCTTGATAAATTTCCTGGCTCCGCCACTGTTTATAGCCAGCTTTTTTTATTTTTATATATATTTCACATCAAGTTAATCATAATAGTAAACATAAGGTATACATCATATACAATAATTATAGCATATAGGTCTATCCAATGTGCTCATCAATATGCATATATTATTACACAAGCATGTTAGACCATATGAATAGCAAATTAATATATATCATATGCTGCATGTCAAGATTTAGTACACTAACTCTTGATCATTTTATATTCTATATTATTTTACTCATATCAAAGAAAATAAAATATACAAATAAACCAATAAAATTCAATATGAGCATGTCAAAATGTTCAAGATAATAATATATATCATGTATCAAAAGTTATACATTTAAAGTTTACTAAAATAGGAGATATTATATTTTTATCATTTTTAGAAAAGAAAAATAAACAAAACTTAAAATTATCAAAAATAGAGGTATGTTTAAGGTTATCTACCATAATCAAAGCAATTTTACAACTAAAGTGATAAAAAATACTGGCATGATCCCTCCTTTTTCTCTATGCTTTCTTCCTTCACTCTCTTCTTTTCTCTTCTCTTTTCCTCTCTTCTCTCACCCGACATACTAAGGAAGGGGGAGGGGTGTCTTGGTTGAGGGTTTTGATAAAATGGATTTTAATATTTCTTTTTTAAAAAATATTTTTTCTAACATAGTGTCATGGTGCTCATGACGTTGGTGTCATTGCGCTCACTCAAATTCCAAAAAAATAAGAGCTTCGCATCACAACACCAGTAGCCTAAATGGCGCAAGACTCCCTCAAATAAATTTTTAAAAATTTTCATAAAATTAAACTTGAGGCTATTACAATCTGTCCTCCTTAAAAAAATGTTATACTCACTATTTGTCACTATGAACCACTAGCAAATATAACAGATCGATCACTAGTCATATCAATCAAATCATATACTCATTCATTCACACATATATGTATATCACTCAAACAATCAATCATATATCATGTTATGCTATGTGTTTCGATCAAAAAAATAACATTAAGAATAGAGAACTATGCTAGTGGATCTCTCAAGTGCATCTCTCACTTCTTGTTGACTCATACTATATACTCGTGGTTTTACAAGTGTTAACATCACTACTAGTATGGGTTGCCTCTAACTTACAAAGCCTTGATTATACATCCTAAATCCTATAATTCTATGTTCATATACCTATTTAGATTGATTTGTTCTAAATCCCAATCTCTATGAATTAGTTACTTGTGAATCTATGACTCCCTTAAATAATAGGGGTTATAACTTGGGAAATTTTTTAAAATACTTATCTTCCTCAATCTCTTTGCTTCAAGTCTATCCACTTTAAGCATCACTCATTAGTCGAGCTATCAAACTAGCAAACTACATCATACTATCAAAGAATAAAATACATAACACAAAAATCTCAAATTAAATTCATGAAATCATACTCACTTTACTAATAGCTCTATAGAAACATAGAGTGAGCTAAAAGCTTAGTAAATTACTAGAATCTATCAGTATAATTAATACACGATAGTAGAAAGAATATGCATGTAATCTTTAAATTTATATCAATCTACTCACATAAATAGTAAGAATAAGTAGCAATTTATACGAATAATGTCATTTCATATGAATAATGAAAACTATATTGAGCAATGTAACTTATAATCAATGATTAGTGGTCATATAAAGGATGAGTGTGTTTTGTTATGCATATACTCATGCCAAATTACAAAATAAGTTATGTTATAAACTATACAAGTTTATAAATCATATTTTTCTTCAAACCATATGCTATTACACACACACACACACATAACTGTAATTATCCCATACATGTCATACAATATCAATACATATATATCATATATCATATTAAATGCAATGTAGCATGTATATTATGAATATCAAACATGTCATATGCCCTTATATCAATCTTATCAATCTTGTTATATATTTATATCAATCGTGTCTGATATTATATGCATACCATATTATAACATGTCATGTATACAATTTATTACATATTCATATCATATGCATATATAAACAAGGCAAGACATTTAAGTACTTGTGATTTTTTTTTTTAAATGTATCAAGTCTTGTAGGCCCTTCAGGCCAAACATGAATCAGTCTCAATCATACCTGTCATGTTGCTAGAAATCAATCTCATTTCAAATATCAGTAGTTAGGTGGCCTTCAAGTAAGAAGTTAACGCTTCCTGCCCATCTACATATTATATCATATAAGTCAATCTTTTTTTACCTCCCATTTTTTATCACTTAGAATTACATCATACACTTAATTTAAAAGAAACCCATCAGCCCGCCCTCCTATACAATATAATATGTCTCCAACCAACATAAATTAGTCAATTATTTATAGCCAACATTTTTTTTGCTTTTATACACATTTAATATAATGTAAGTCATAATAAAAAATATCATCTATGCATCATATACAATGATTATAGCATGTAGATTTATCTAATGTGCTCATCAGTATGTATATATTAATCCACAATATATGTTAGACTATATGAATAATAAACTAATAAAAATCATGTGTGTTTATATCTAGATGTAGTATGCTGAATCCTAATTATTTAGTACTTTATATTATTTTACTCATTTCAAAGAAAATAACATATATATGCAAAATTAACCACTGAAATTTTAATACAAGCATGTAAAAATGTTCTACATTATAACATCTACCATATATCAAGTTATATAGTAAAAGTTCACTAAAATTGGATATATTATATTTTTTCAATTTCAAAAGAAATAAAAATAGATAAAACTTAAAATCATCAAAAAATGGAGGTAGGGCTAAGGTTACCTACCATAATTAGAGCACTTTTCACAACTAGAGCGAGGAAAATATTGGCTTGATCCCTACTTTCTTTATCCTCTTTCTTCATTCCCTCTCTTCCTTTCTCTCTTCTTTCCCTCTCTTCTCTCTCATGACATGCAAATGAATAGGGGAGGGGATGGCTTGTGTGAGGGTTTTGATAAAATGGATTTGATATTTATATTTTTTTTACCCAGCACTATGGCCAAAAACCCTAGCACTGTTGTGCTCACTCTAATTCCAGAATACATGAGAGCATAGCACTGCAATGCTCACTTGATGGGTACTTAACTTTTTAATACCAATGAGCTTGCTTCATACTATGAATGTATGTGTTATATGCTCCCATCTACACAAGTGTATGTGTCGATCAAGTAATAAAGTGTATGAAAAGAGTGTTGATCCCATGAGAAAATAAGTGTGATACAACTAACTCTAGTAATGTCTACTCAAACCATGAAATTTGTCCCACACAATAAAATAAAAGGTGAAGTGCTATCACGATAGAAAAATATAATAAATAGTTAAGATAACCATAATTAAAGATATTCTAGAATAATAATAGTGAATGAACCTATATTTTGTTCTAAGTAAACTCAACTACAATAGTTATAAATTAAAGCATATGCACCCTTAGATCTTTGACAAGCTTGTAAGGGCGTAAAGAAAGGTTTATGGCCTTTCTATAATGATTCCATCTCCTTAGACCCTAGAATCTTAATCATTCTATGTATTGGCATCAAAGTATTCTAACTCAATCCTCTAAATTATTCGAACTTCCTCCATCTAGATAATATATCACACTAAATTTTAAATTCATACATAGGCATTGCATAAATTAAATTAAGCATGATAGTAATTGAGAACAACCGTTCATATAAGGAGAAATAAAGACTATTCACAATATCAATCCAAAATAAAGAAGTTAGTCAACTATTAAATTAATTAAGATTAAAACACATTTCATTACTTATTTAAAAAAAAAAATACAAAAAGAAAGATGAAGAAAATATTATCTGGAGTTGAGAATCCTAAACAGAATCCTACAGATGGACTCTTTCTGGAGTGATTCTCACCTTACACCTTTACTCTCCACACTCTCTTCCACTCCTAAAGAGTGTTTTTTTTTTCTAATTGCAAGAATGACCAGCCACTTCACTAAACATAACTTTACTATACCCAGTCTCTCCTACAAAAAAAAAAAAAACTTTTATTTTTTATATAAATAAACTCAAGTGTTGTGACGCTTGACAGAGTGGTGCCACGACATTACAATGATGAATGAGCACCTCGACGCTACTTAGTTGGCTCGCCTGTGGCATGGGCTAATATACGTGATGGTTGGCTAACCCGGCGGCCGACGGGAAGCTTCCTTTCTTAACTGCTCTGTCATGACGCTGCGACACTTTAACATGTCTTTTGGCACTATTGTGCTCGAGATTGGTACATCGATGTTGAAATACTCGCAATTTGGCAGAGTACAGAGCACGTCAGCATTCCTTTTGTGGCGTTGAGGCACTCATAGTGCTATGAAACTGCAAGATGTTCTATCGAGGTGCTACCTTGAATGAAAAAATGATTGAGACTGGAGTCTTGTGATGTTCTATTCTGATGTTTGGGTGTTGAAGGTGTTGTGTTGTAGGTGTTTGGGGCACTGTGGCACCGGTTCTAACATTGTAAATTTATAACTCCTAAGACATTTCTGCACAACGTCAACTAAAACTCAC